CACATATATGTGTGTGTGTGTGTGTGTGTTTATGTATATTTATTTAATTAATAGTTGTGTGCATTATTTTGTAMGGAATTAAGAATTATTTTCTCGATGAATAAGAAGTGATGGGAATAAGGTTGCAGACAGGAGAAGGGGTGGGCTAATGTAAGTGTAAACTTCTGCCCACTTGTTTGAGCGTATGAACACTGAATATGTGTAATGTTTCTGTTACTTTCTGCTGTTATGTTCAATAAAACATATAAAAACATCAGCAGCTGCATTTGAAAATTTTGTGCCATCAAATATTTGACTTCCAAGACAGCTGGCGCTATGATCCTACGGATTTACATATTAAAGCAGAAAATACTGTATTGCACAACCCAAAACAGAAAAAGATGTGACGGTGTGTACGTAAAAACAATATTCTATGGTTTGCTAATCTCATACCCGTATTTTATTCACAATAGAATATGGTAAACACTCCAAACGCTCAAATCCACAGCTGTGAATGTCACACACTTCACCAATTAATATTTGAAGGGCTACTAAGATGACTTTTTACAGTTTTGTAATTAAAAACATTGACTGTTGCAACCTGGGCCTAAATATTCTCTTATTTTTTCATTAATACAACACGGACAGGCTCAAAAATATCCAATAGCAATTATAAATTTCTGCAGGACTCTGTACAGCTTTATCTTTGCCTTGGGAAAAGCAAAAGGTGAAAGACTTCATCTGATACTAGAGCAGCTGTTGACATCCTAATAAAAACAAGATAAAACGGGCTGACAGGAGTGTCTAAATCTATTTGCACAACAACCTAGCAGCAGTCTCAGACTCTTACAGTTCTTAAATGTGGACCACTGGTCTGTGCTCTGCATTCCAACTGTGTGACGTTGCTCTGTTCTGACCAGAGCGACCGATTTTTAGGGTCACTAATGTGTAGCCTTTTGTCTTCGTGAAATGACTCATATCTTCTTCTTGAGTGAGATTTCAGAGTTGCTCTCCATAAAGGCTGTTAGACGGTTACAAACATTTGAGCTTGTCAGTTGGAAATATGAACACCGTCACTTGGCCATATTGGAAATGTGCCTATTTAGGTTGTATTTTGAAAGATCCAGTGTGGTCTGATAGGTAAAAATAAAAGTTTTCTTTGAATTGGGTGTGTCAAACTAGCCAACTGGGTAATAAACAAGGCATTCCAAGCCATTCAGGTGAGTGTTTTATATGAGAAAGCTTTGCCTAATTTGTAATTTTACACCTTTGCAGACCATGTAAAGGCATAGTAAACAGGTAAAATACAGAGGAGAAAGAAGAAGAAATAAAGATAAACTGGTTTGAATCATCTACACAAAATTATAAACAAGTAGCTAGATTATACCCCAAGACTGTTCTCACAGGGAAAAAAAAAAGATTTAAATCTTTGTTCACTCACAGGATTTTCCACATCAATCACGTAACCACCTTGGTCCCGCTGAGTGACTCTGTAATGTCTGAACACTGACCTGGAGTTGAAAATAAATAATAACACATTATTTTACATGGTGTATCGTTGAGGAGTTTTGCCTTTTAGGTATTCAAATATTCAGCTGGTGCTAACCCGTTAAGATCCTGTCGAGTGGTGACGGCCAGCGAGCACCCGTCTCTGCCTGGACGGAGCAACATGTTGCCACAGTCCGGGTGTCTCTCCAGCAGGACTTCGGCCTCAGTGCGCGACACTGGACGAAAACACCTGAGAGTCAAAAGCAACATGTCAATGGAAAAATGTTCATGCAGACACATTAAAAAAAGCATGGCAGTGTCTTGTTAGAACTCACGGTGGGATCTCCCCCACTAAAGGAACGGAGAGGGGTGAAGGAGGAGCTCGGCCTGGATTGCGGGATCTCCTTCTGGACCTTTCTTTGTCCACCACCTCCTTTAACATTTGCAGTTGTCCCGGAAGCAATGTCAGACACGACGGCACGTTTAACTGTGACGGGACAGAACAGAGAATATTAGCTTTACAGCTCTGTGATGTGTCCCTGTGTCATCCTTATTATTCCCTGATGAATAGATATGTCCTCTTTTTACAGTAGATTGGCTGACAATAAAAGAGGTTAAGTGGAGTGGCCCAAATCTGACGGTCAACTGCTGGTTGGTTCTGGGGCTCTCCTCGTTTTGTTTGTATTAGCTGGGGGCCTGGGGCTTCCATTTCTCTCTGTTTTGTTCATACAATTCAATGAAAATTTTTTTAACCCATAATCTGTTGGACTCTATATGTTCCCTGTGAGTCACATATGAATAATAACATGTTTGGGGGCCTGTCCGGGATACCAACATAACAAGCTCTATTAAAAAAAACAGATAATGAAGGAATAAAAATGCAGCCAAAATATATGAAACATTGATACTCACGTCTGTAACAGAGTAAAGGAAACCCTTCCAGAGCTCTCGGGACTCTAAATTGGGCGCCTGGAAAAGACAAACATGTTGAGTCTGGTAGCAGCAAGATAATTGTGCCGATCTTTGACCCAATTTTCCCCTTCCAACAATCTTGAGGATGGCCCGATGATCATAATAGCGCTAAAGATGATCTTATGAGATATTCCTGTCGTGTGTGGTAAGGGTGATCAAGTTGGCTTGGAAGGACGTCTGGAATGCTCCAATCTCAAATCTGGGATATTCAACATGTTGGATTATCTTGGCCCAAAATGCTTTTGTATGTGATGTTTCCTGAGGACAAATGAGCATGCAGCCTGTTGAATAGTAGGTAGCCAATCAGAACTTGCGGTGATGGAAACACAGAGGGGAATCCAAAATACAGAAGAAAAAACAACTTCCCTGGAGGACCAGAAAGTCCAGTGTATGTCGGACATGTCTTTTTTTCCTGTTAAAAGTAGTCCACAAACTACTGACATTGCTTCGTCCTTGTTGGCCATGTTTGCTTACAATGAAATGACGTTTAATCAAGAGGTTTTGCAAGATTTCCCTTCTGACATCTGAATATTCAAGAGTGAAATCAGTTTATGTGGTGTGTTGTCTTTGCCGTGTGGGTGTGTTGGCAATCAATCAACAATTTCAAAATCTTGTCGTGATGGATATTCAGGTTTGAGTGCGTGAGCTGAGAAGCGCACCGTGAGTTTGGTCTCTCCATCCTTCATGCGGAGGATGAGCCGTGCTGCCTCCAGGTTTTTGTCCCGGCTGCTGTCATCCTTCAGGGACACAAACCCACCGAGGTCCAGCTTCTCCACATACTGGTACGAACACACACACACACACTTTAGAGGGAGCACAATGCAACAAGCACACATAAAGGCTTGCAGTAGGAAGCTTACATGAATATCCTTGGCATTATTGAAGAAATATAAGGAGTTGCCACACAGACAGGTCCACAGCCGCCTGGATGCCTGTCACGTACAGAGGAACAAAGACACAAATATGGTGCTTTCCCCACCTCAATTATGGATATCTGCTTTTCTATCACCCCCACATGTCCTGTCCCTAGAGGGTGGTAAGTGAGCCTCAGCTGCTAACTGAAGCACACAGATACCCTGCACCTGAGCCACTCTCATATTACATGTGTGCATGAAAATGAGCCTGTTATGACTGATGGGTGGGTCTGAACAGAAGGGRGCATCTTTTATGTTTAACCACACGAATCTTAACCAAAAGGCAAAAGATCTTGACACTTTCACTTTAGGTAACTTTTATATTTAGGAAATTGAAATAAAAAACATCAAGCTGTCTCTGAATTTGACATGATGTCCTGTTATTCTAAGGGCGACACAAACGCGTCTGTTATCAAATATGAGACATAACACACAGCCCTGACACTGGATGTAAATGCTGCCTTATCATCGCACGTTTGCCTTTCAGAACAATAAATCTCCAGCAGGCAGATCCAGCGGTGTTCCGTTCCGCCTCGCCCTTTCCAGCACAAGGAAGTTGACAGCTTTTTTGGTGGGAATCATGGAGGATCAGCCGGGTGTTTGCGCACTGACCACCAGCTACGGAAACGCGCGCGCCGGGTGAAACCCACCTTCTCTTTCGGTCCCCGCTTCTCCAGGTAGCCTTCGTAGTAACAGGGCGGGAGCTGCGTCCGGGGGCTCACCGAGCCGCAACGCTGCCTGACGGGTACGGCCGCCATGAGTGTCGCAGCCTGGGCACCGAGCGAGGACAAAGGGGCGCTGAGGGATCCGGGGGGGACTGACACGCCTTCTCCCGACAAGATAGAGCCGTGGCGGCCAGCCAACAGCTGGTGGGTGCAGCMTGGATCAGGGGGGTCCTGAAGAGGGAGGGGGCTGGTTGAGGTTAGCTGATGTTTGGAGAGACATCATTTAAATAAGACCCAGGTGGGGGTTGTTTCAAGAGGTAATCCCATACTTCTATGTCCAAATGTAAATAATGAATATTCTAAATATTCCCACTCAACTGTTTACTACATAAATGAAATTTTCTGTGAAAATGTAGTGTGGATGCTTCTGAATGACTGCTGAAATTATATGGAGTCATTAAAGCTTAATAAATAAATAAATAAAGAACATGAGCTAAAAGTAGCAAAATAGCTCAGATCTAGAAGCAAAATGCAAGCTAAAAGCTAAATGTAGTAAAAGTCTAGGTAAATTGGCAAAAACAAATGCAGGAAATTGGGAGCTAAAAGTAGTAGAACAGCATAACTAAAAGTAGCAAAACCCTGGCTAGATGCTAAAAGATGAACTAAATATAATTTGGCAAAATTTAAAGCAGCAATGGTTTAACTAGAAGCACCAGGTTAGCTAGTCACAAAAAGCTAGCTAATAGCAAAAAAGTTAGCTAAAGCTAAAAGTATCAAAACACTAAGATACTAAAAACAGTCAAATGATAGCTAAAAGCAAAAGGTAGCTAAAGTTTAGTTACATGTAGCAAACATGTAGCTAAACACAATAAAATGCTAGATGAAAAATGGCTGAACGGTAGCTAAAATCTTAAATCTTATTTGTAATTAAAGCTAAATATTGGAAAAAGTACAAGTTTCTGCAACCAAAGCATCACAGCATCCATTTTCTGTTGGGTTGTAAATAAAAATAAATAAAAAAGGTATAGGGGATAAACAAACACAAAATACAAAAGTGAATGCTGAGTCAGCATTTACAAAAATGAAAACAAAAAAACCTCACTAAAGACACAAATTTAACATTTATTAAAGAAAATGATAAGCATCTATTCATACACAGTAAAACATTCTTATACACAAGATTACACTGAGCCTAGGATAGAGGTAATCCATGATAATCCCACATTTAGTCTTCTCATAAGATCACAGTAACAAAAACAAGCATAAGTCAAAAGCGTGCATGCAAAATGTTACTTTTTCACAGAAGTTTTCCCTCAAAATTGTGCATGATAAAATAAATCTTTGTCTGCTAATACTTCAATATTGCAAAACTGATAAAGGATTTAGTTTAATAATAATGTTGCTGCTCTTCCAGTTGTGACAGCAGCAACCCACCAACATTGATCTCAGGCCTTTTGTTCCACAACTTCATTTGTCATCAATATACAAGCTGCATGACGGCTCAAACTGAGCCTTCTGGCTCTCTTTAAAAGGGTTTTTGACTTTAGTGTAATGAGGTGTGTAAACCCACACCTGAACCACAGCTATTACTCAACACAGCAAGGGTCTGAAACACACAGCAAAGAGGTACATTTAGGACAGGCAGTGAAGATTATATTCCAACTAACAGTCTGAGCTTCAGAGGCACTGTGGGTTGAGATGGGACAGATAATGAGGAAGGGGGGGTCGGGATACAGGGGGCAGGTGGTGATTAAAGACTGGTGGGGGAGGGCATAATCCACCGTTGTGTGCCCTCCTCTGTTGAAAAGGCCTGTCTGTTCCACTTGTAGTTGCAACAAAAAAGGGAGAGACGAGTGGGGCAGCGGGCAGTTTAACAAGGGGATCATGACAAGAGAATGGTGGCATTTTAGTGTACAGCACAAACCCTGACAGTTCATAGTTCGCTTGTAATAAGCTTAACTGGAACTGAAATCAGCGATTGTGGACGACCCTCGTCATTATTTATAAAAACACTGAGAAGATGTGCGTTCTGCTCCGTTTGTGCCTGAAGATGGAGGCAGGTAGAAGAACGCCAAGCACACATCACTGTGATTTCCATGCTCTGAATCAAAGCCACGCTTATCTGGAGAGGGGGGTGTTCAAGAACAGACACTTGGATAAAAGCCCTGAAAACATTTGTGTGACACTGCCAGCAGCATCAGTAGAGCCTGAGAAAAAGAGAAAGAGGAACTGAAGGGAGTTAGGTAGTTGGCATTGATGCAAAGCTGCTCAATATCTGGAGTAAGCTTAGATCCTTCAGTGTCAAGTATTTTACTTCAAGTTGAAAACCAGAGTAAGCAAGACCATTTTATCCCAAAGATTTACAGTTGAAAAACGTAAGCAACCTTTCTTTGGCATTAGTGTTTGGAAACAGAGCACTGCTGTAGAGATTTAGGTAGAAAAAAAACAAGGTTAATTAGCGTAATAAAAGTAGTTTAAATATGAAACATCTCAGCACGTAAGGCTCTGCACTCAAAATACCTGATGATGGCAGAAACTGTAATATAATAACAGGTAAGGCCTGGCTGCAGATGTAAGTCAAACAACTATAAACCACAAAATCCAGTTTTATCAAAAGACAAACATATGGCAGTACCACACAAACAGCTAAGGTTGCTCCACCAAAGCGTACCACCAGATGGCAGTGAAGGATAGAGTCAAATTCTAAAAATGGCAGCAACTAACAGCCTGGAGGCACGGCAGTTAAAAACATGTTTTTGTGTAGTTCCAATATTCAAAGTATACAAAACAAAATATGTTATATGGGGAATAAAACCACATAAGAAAAATAGCAGTAGTTTGACTTTTTAGACGCCGATGCACAATTCTCATGTCTTTACTTATGTGGTGAAGATGTAGTGTAAAAAAAAGTGCATCGGTGCAAAGAAGAGTTTATAAAGACTTACAATAAAAGCACCCAAACATCACATCATCCTTTTGTTTCCTAATGGACCCCCTGGCTGTTCTTATGATCCATTCAATCTTGACAAATGTGAGTCCTCGTATAGCCCCCCAAAGAAGAAAAAGATAAATACTTCCTTGCTATGTTTGCACTTTAATTGCGATAGTATAATTTTACATCGTCCTGATGCTCCTCTCCTGCATGGTTTGATTTAGTACGGCAGGGGCACGATCACTTCCACATAGTTGACGGGAAAGTATCCAGTTGTGCCACGGAGCTTCCCTTCAAGCCAGTTCTCGTCGATCTGTTTGACCAAAGTGATKATGTCGCCCTCGTTGAAGCCCAGCTCTCCTTCGTTTTCAGGCTCAAAGTCATACAGGGCTCTACAGCTCGGCTCAGCTGTAGGCAGACAAACAGAGGATGCGACAAGAAGGGAAAAAATTAGTTAAACCATAAAAGTGAACATTTCTAACTCTTCCCCTTCAACATGGTTAGTTTATGCTTCTTTGTTAAGATTTTATTGGACACATGTGGCATTAGAAGTTTAGAGGAACTCTTGAGCAGAACACTGATATGAGTGATTAAAACAGGAAATGATAAATGATATGTTAGTCATGAATCCTTCTGAAGCTCAGAATCAAACATGCCAATAGATCAATTTCTGTAAAACTTCCTTTAAAAAGTTTTGACCCTAATATTTTTTGTTTTATTCGTCACAGATTAAGCCTAATAAAAAGAAAGAAAAATAAAATAAATAATATCTAATTTTATTTAGAGCTTCAGAAGTTTCGGTGATCCCTGAGTGCGCTGTCAGATGCATATAATTCAGCCAATAGTTTTTGTTGGAACTTGAAAYAAAATGTTCCAGTTACTGATTAATTAGGACAAATATAGTCATGGTTGCTGATGATTCTATCCATCTGAAGCTTTGGTCAGACAAAAATATGTTCCCTCTTTATGTTCTGACCTGTTAAAGTAAACACACAAACACAATTCAATGTTAGTAAATCAATCTCAAGCACATGGATCCACTTTATGATCTTTATGAGGCACAAAACAAGGAAGTGGTGACATTTTGTCGTTAAGTCACGGGAATCTTCATCTGTCCACTCACACGGTCGGTTCTTGACGGAGGGTCTTTTGAAGGATGGAGCTGGATAATGTTACGGAGAGGGAAAAATATCTGTCAGGAAAAATGTAACGGGTGCGCACTGCGCCCTTCGGGGACTAGGAATTTGCGTGAACACATGCATGCACAGAGAGATAAAGTAAATTATGAAGGTCAAATTATTATTATTATTATTATTTTACCAGGAGCGTGAGCTAGAGGGCTTGCAGGAGAAGGTGCATATCCTCCATTTGATGGTTCGTCATACTCAACCGATTGTTGTCTGGGTTTAGGCCTGAATTCACGCTTTGGACGGGACTGCACCTCGTTTACTCTGCACAGAATCAGAACAAAGCAAAACACTGCATCTATAATCTCAATATAATACACACACATATGAGCTTTTTTTCCTTTTTATCCACCAGGATTGTTGTAAGGTGAGGAAGAGAGATTTGTAGAAACTGGTTGTAGAAATGTCTGCCTTCCTTTTGAACAGAGAAGATGGCACTTAGTTTCTGAAGTCATGACCCAGTTCAGAAAATCAACAATAAATGTTGCCACCTGTTTCATCTAAAAACTGACTCTCGACTGCTTCATGACATCGCTGCACAAAGTGAAACACAAATCTTTTCCTGACAGAAGGTCTGTGACAGCATGTCAACCTGTTAGGAGAGCTGTAACATCAGCATGATAGTTCTAGATTTAGAATTGGGGGGGGTGTCCATCAGCTGGTCACAACAAGGCTCGTTGATACTCTTTAACAAATAGGTCATTTCAGGACAGAGGAGTGGGTAGCGTAACTGGCTGAGCAGGTGCTGCATGTACAGAGGCTGAGGATCCTCATTAAATCTGACACAGATTTTCAGTATAAGACTTATTCCTGCGTGACAGTCTTCCCTCTCTGCCCACTTTCCTGTGGTGCTTTGAAAAGAAATGCCAGCGGTGCCAGGAAAAATATGAACAGACGCTGCCATTAAGGTTTTCAAAAGTATTTTTTGTGGAGCTTTAAAGATTACAAGCCAAATGCTATTAGCTCCATTATATACAGAAATTAGACTGTAAAAACAAGGTCCATTTATTATTCTGTGTCTGGTTTAAGCCTAAAACTTTGTGTAGCTGATCATTTTAAAATKAAGCTATTTTATTTTTGAAAATTACAAAATGTGTAAAATTAGTCTTCACTTGTAAAAACAAACAAAGCTAAATTGACTGTATTTGTGCTAAGCATGAGTTTATAATAATTAGTTTTACTTAGACAAGTAAAGATTACAGCATCAATAAATCACTTCATTAAATTTCATTTATTTTTTCTAAAGTTACTGAGAGTGCTGACCTTTCTTTCAGTTTGTCGTTAACTTCCTCCAGGATCTGTGTGGCCTGCCTGTGGTACTGCAGCAGAGACTCCACAAAGGAAGAAAGCTGACTCATCTGCTCCACTTGCTGCACACAAACACAAGAAAGAGTTCAGAACAAACAGACAGCACTGGCCTTTCAGAGGAATCATCCATTTGGTTTCCACTTTTCAATCTTTTTTATTCATTTATGTCTATCTCAATTTGCTTAACTTAAAAAAAGCTTAGCTTAACTTAAAAAAAGTTTGGAACTGGTATAAACAAATACCAGCGCAAACAGGTCAGACAAGTTTTGTTTTCAACAGGCAGCTGTGTGGAAAATTTAGACATTTCAGCCAACATATAAAGTCCTGCTGGCTGAAAAACAGAGTTCCCAGCAGTATGCAGTTACAAATCATTTGGGCAAAAATTGTCAAAAATACTAAATTCATTGATAATGAATCCAGTAAAGAAGGTTTCACATTAACTCTGTTTTCACTAAAAAGGTTTCTAAATCTTTGGACACAAAAATCCTGAACGACACCATGTTCTGTGTATAAATGGCAAATTAGTCCAGATGCTAAACTCAAATCTTTTGTTAGAGTGAAAAAATTAAAATAAATTTTAATTAATTGTGCTCGACACATGTATTCCCTGTCAATACTAAAACTATTGTTACAAATTCAGAACATCCAACAAGTAGATGCTTTTGCGACCATTTCCACAGCAATTCTTAAAGGGAACCCTGACTAGTTGTATTAGACAGTTTGATAAACATTTACTTCAACTATAAAAACAAGACTGTAAAATTACTG